GATCTCGAGAACGGAAACTCACACAATGCTCGTTCAAAAGCGAAATGTAAATATCGAGATCGAACTAATACCATTTTTAGTCGAACCGTCTATAGAACCAATAGTTCGTCTACAATCGGAGCTCCAAAAACGCAATTTCGACAGAGTTTATCTTTGAGATAATTAAAACGAAAATTCAAAAACAATGTTAGGCGCCAATTTCTTTAGTCATATATCAAACAGCTGTGAATACAGCTGAAAGTAGATAATGAATCATTGAGATAATTAATCGATCAATGGACAACGAGTTCAAAAAATTTGTCAATGCGCTTTGATAGAGTTCCTGTAGTGATGAATCTTAGAATGGCTGCTTTTTATGTTGCATCTAAATTAGATCAGCTGTTTGATGAAAATATTTCTTTGTTGATTCAAAAATGACTCAGAAACATTTTCAAGTGTTGTAGAAGTTAGACTCCACAAGGCGAGAGCAAATTATTATGGTTATTTAGAGCGATTATTCGTATTCGATTCGAAACTCGTTTTCTCGATTCTCTCGATTCGTGCTTCGCACCGCATTTCGTATTCGAGTCGAAACTCGAATACCATCTAGTTTTTCTTTTACTTTCTCGACGTACGCATAAAAGTTGTCATTTTCTGTTCGAATGATCTCGAGAACGGAAAGGCAGAAAATATTCGTTCAAACGCGAGGTAAAAATATCGAGATTAAATTGATACCTTTTGTTTTGAAATCTGCGGAAATATGTTCCATTTGCTTACAAATAGCGTCCAAAAGCAACAAAATTTTAAGGACTTAGTGTTTTTCGAGCTTCGAGATAATTAATTCTATTTTAAAAGTTGTCATTTCTCTCGCGATTATCTTGAGAACAAAAACTCTAAAAACAATAGTTCAAACGCGAGGTACGAGTATCGAGATCCAACCAATACCGTCCGTTGAGTTTGTTCTCAAAGCATTTTTAGTTTCCTCAAAAATTCCTTGCGAAAATGACCAATTTTGTAACTTAGTTATTTCTTCCTTTTAAGATAATTAAAATCGAAAATAAAAAGCAAAGTTAGGCGCCACTCTCTTCTCTTTCATATGTTAAACAGCTGTGAAAGCAGCTGATCATAGATAATGAATCTGAAAGGAAATCAACCGATCAATTATTTGTCTTCATTAGAAAACTATTGGTAGCTGCTTATAGGGTTCTCTTCATATATTAAACACATCAATGCGTATATTTGTTTCCTTAGAAAATCGATTCTAAGCCTTAGTAGAGGTTTCATAGTTATCGATTTTCATATGTCGAGTAGATTTAATTAGATGAATGCCATCAAAAATCTTTCTCTAATATAAATCGTAAACACTTATCGAAAGTTCCATAAGTATAAATCTTTAAATGTTATTATCATAAATAAACTATATTATTTTATTGAAAGGCATGGATGCATTTTTAACACCAAGTGCTAATGTTATTCATTCTTATTCATCATCATCATTTCAGCATCAAACATAATATACATTTTCTTCAGTTGATTATGTTAGTTATTTTGATATTGATCATAATAATGAAAATTAAAAAGAATTAGCTAAAAGAAAATCAAAAATTTTTTTAATTTTAAAAATTTAATTCAACATTAAATAAAATTGAATCTTGCAAATTTTATATTCTATTATTAATTTTAACAAAATATTTTTCTTTTTTTTTTGAATTTTGACAAGATTATGACTCTTATCCAGTAGTATGTTCATGTTCATGTTCATCATCTTTATTTGATGGTGAATTACTTGATAATAAATTAGGAAGAACTTGTTCAACATCAACAAGAACAATGGATAAATTTTTGTCACTTGATTATTATTCTCGTAATCATTCATTTGTTGATTCTCCACTATCTGTTGAAGATTTACGAGAACATTTTGCTTCAACTTATATTTTAACAATTGGTCATGTATGTTGATAAATTTTTCTTTTAATTCCATAATCAATTTTCTTTTGTTTTCAGTAGTCTTTAACAGAAATTAATAAAGAAGAACGAATTATCATTGCAATATAAAACAAGTATTAATGAAGATTCAATTTAATTAAATGAACAACATCGTACAGGAACATCATGAATAATTTGTTTTGAAAGATTACTTAATGATAATATCGGTTTAAATGTATTTACAAAATTTAAAAAAAAAATAAAAGCAGAATTTGTCAAGAAAATATTCAATTTTTGATTGAATGTGAGAATTGTATAAAGTGAATAAATCAAGATGAGGTTTAAATTTTTTTTCATTAAATTCTATAATATAAATTCGTTTTTTATAGATTCGTAATAAAGCTAATTCATTTCGGGTCCTATATTAGCATGATACAGATGATAGTTCCTGTCGAATAAATATTGATAATCGAGCACGACAAGAACGTAAATAATCACTATTCACCGGACAACTGATTTGCAATTTTTTTTTTTAGTGACATCATATAAAACTTCCCATTACAACAAGTTCATCAACAGTCATTGAAACATCATTAACATCAACAGCTCCTCATAATATAGAATTTTTTGATAACACAATGACTGAAAAGAAAAGTAAAAACTGAAAAGAATGTTTCTTCAACTATAAATATAACTCAATCAATAACAGCAGTTGTTGAGCAAGCAAAAATTGAAGAAAAAAGCAGACATCAAAACCGAAATCATGTCGAGATGCAGTTGATTAAAAATAAAAATTTCCAGCTAGTTTCTTATTGGTCTTTCTTTTTTCATGTACTGAAATATTTCATAGTTATAGAGTTTCATGTCTACTAGAATTAATTAGATAGATTAATGAAATTTGTCTTAAGGACTCTTAATGGTTATATTGAATACATTAAAATACTTTACTTCACATTATCTTATTAATTTTGCATTTTTTAAAACTTTATTTAAGATTTTATAAGGAGTTCAAACCATGAAATCTTCGTGATGTTAATAGCAGTTCATCATCAACTAGTAATAAAACGACATGCATTCATCTTTAACACCAGGTGTTAATCTTATTGATTCTCAATGATCATTATCATTTAATTATCAAATACTATATACATTTTCTTCAATTGATTATCTTAGCTATTTTAACATTGATTATAATAATAAAAATGTTAGAAATATTTCAGCTCAGGTAACAGAAAAACAACTAAAAAAAACAAATTTTTCTTGTTATTTATTAATAAATTATTTAGAATTTATATTCATCGAATATTTCGATCATACGATAATCCTCTTGCTGTTCTTATTGGTAATACAGGATCTTAAGTTGGTGCAGTACATTTTACTTTTGTTGTTTGTTAATTAATTGAAATGGCAAAAGCTGTGATAGCTGATCATGATAATTTTTTAACAACGGAAAAAATAAATGTTGAAGCTAAAAAGTGTCATTCTTTTCCACATACATTTCAACGAACATATTTAACAACTGCTTCAATAACAAGTTATCAATCAAGTGATTATCCTTCAGCATTTCATAATCATTCATCATATGACGGAAGTGTTCCGACTCGTGGTGCTCGACGTGGTGAAGAAGGAGGAACGAAATCATTTTTTTTTATTTGTTTATCATAAATATCAATGTTTTCTTTTTCCTTTTTGTAGAAAAAGTAATATTGTTTATTGGTCTTACTTTTTTCGTGTACTAAAAAGTTTCATAGTTATAGAGTTTCATTTGTCTACTAGAACTAATTAGATAAATAAATAAAATTTGTCTTAATGGTTTTTTAAGGAGTACAATAAATACATTTAAATGCTTTACCTTACATTATCTTATTGATTTTGTATTTTTTTTCAACTTTATTTTAGATTTCATTCGTCATAACTATTATTACATAAAAAAAAACAATATTAAATTGAAAGTTTCATTGAAAGAAAACTGGTCAAGTTATTGACTTTCTGAAGTTTCTTGCTTACTATCGAGTATATCTTCGCTTAGTAATAAAGAAGATCTAACTCGAAAGAAACTTCTCTTTTGATTGTAATTATTATTACACAACAAAAGAATAACGAATTGAAAGTTTCATTGAAAGAAAGTCGCCAAGTTTTAGACTTTCTGAGGTTTCTTACTTAGTGTCAACTATATCTTCGCTTAGTAACAAAGAAGATCTAGCTCGAAAGAAACTTTTCTTCTGAACATCTCACCAAGTTAAGAGATATAGACGTTTCTCACTTAGGAGTTCAAGCCGTGCTTAATTTACATACGTGCTTAGTCTCAACGAGAAACAGTCATTGTTTTCAATTTTACCTATTTAATTACATCTCATTACATCAGATATGGTTCGTAAAAAATCAGTTGCATCAAAAGTGAAAAAAAGAAAAGAAGCCTATAAGCGGCAACTAAAAGCAGATGCAATTCCTTCAGATTGTGTCAATTTTGTTAACAAAGATATGCAAGCTATATCTTCTGATGTGATCAAGGTGAAAGATCAATTTGATGATTACAAGATTATTAAAGACATTATTAAAAAACTTGTATCAAAAGTTTCTCGTCTAGATAATGAACGGAAAAGACAATTACAGATTCGAAAGCAAAAAAAAATTTTAGAAGCTATTATTAATAACAAAATATCAATTTTGAAGCACACTAGACAAAGAATTTGGTTCAGAAAGAAATATCATCATAATATTTTATTTCGAGAACAAAAAAATGAACATGTAACAAAATACTTTCAAAATAAGTATCATAATAACAATGATTTTCGAGAAAAACAAAAGGCTCGCATACAAACACATATTTTAATAAAATATCGTGCCAATGCAAATTTCCGTGCTGAAAATAACGAACGTGCAAAGATACGTATTTTAAATAAATATCATAATCTTACAAAATTTCGAGAAGAATATAAAGCACGTATGAACATGCAAGTTTCGAAGAAATATAAATCTAATAAATCGGTACGATTGAAAATGATTCAGTGTGCTTTGAATTGGTATCAAAATAACAACACATTGATAATAAAAAATTCAAGACGTCTTTATAATCATAGTAGACGTGTTATGAAAAAATATACTGTTATTCAAAGCCATAAATGTGCAGTTAAGTATAGAAATTTATACATGTATAACTTGAATAGATTTCGACAAATAATAAGAGAAGGACCTGATTATGTTTGTATATCATGTCGATTAGCACTTTTTCGTAATCAGGTCATACCATTTGTTGAAGAAAAGTATATAAAACAAAACATGTCATATGAAATTAAAAAACGTATTCAATCTTACTGTAACTATTCATCATTAAGAGAAATAAAATGGATCTGTAAATTATGTTCAGATAAAATAAAGAAACAACAAA